CGTGGGCGTCTCGGGAGGGAGCGAGGGGAGAAGGCGGGGCGGCGGGAGGCGTGTGAGGCCGTCCCCGTCTCGGTGTGGGCGCTGCTGGGTGCAGATCGCAACCACACAACGGCTCCCTGGTGGTGTTGACTTGGGCAATAGTCGCTACTACACTGACTGTGCTGGTGGGAGAGAAGCAGGCCACTGGTCTGTCATCATGCGGTTTCATCACTGCGCTCCGGACGTAATTTAGCAGGTGCTAAAGCAAAGCTGCCCTGCACACCGTGTGTTAACGAGGCTTTACTGCTGCTTGTTCTCCCTAGGCTCTAGCTAATATCGACATCGGAAGCCTGATCTGTAATGTAGGAGCTGGTGGTGGTGGTGCTCCAGCTGCAGCAGCTCCAGCCCGCGGGGCCAGCTGCAGCAGCTCCAGCCGGTGGTGCTGCCCCTGCTGGTGGTGCTGCCCCAGGTAAGTGGGCTTCTGTGTCCAACATAGCAATCTTCAGCTGGAGGAAATCCTTGGTTAGAAAGCTACTTGTTACTAGTTTGAGAATCAGCTTTGCTCCTCCCCTTACAATTTTAATGTGGTTTATGTTCTCTGGTATTACATGTGGGTGTTCTAGAGCAAAACAGGCCCTCACCTTTAGAAAGGCTGTACTTGCTCTTTGAGTCAGTGTACAGGATCAGTGTGACCACAGAATTAAGGCTGATCTTTGTGGTTATCATCAGGGTCTCATCCTGATGGCTAAAGAGAAAGCACCTGCTCTGTAAAGCTTTTTAGATTTGATAGGAATGAATTTTGAAGGCACAAACCAAATTTCCTAGGTAGTGGAAGCACTAGTCTGCTTGGGTTGTTAGCTTAGCTTGTTAGGATTGCTCAGGCCTTGCTTCTTGATGTTGGTTGCTTGGTCATTGTACGTGAGGTCTTTTGTGGCATCTGACTCTTACGAGCTGATAACACGGAAAAATCCTGATCCTGATTCCTTTCTCCTTTTCTAGCTGAGGAGAAGAAAGAAGAGGAAAAGAAGGAAGAATCGGAGGAATCTGATGATGACATGGGCTTTGGTCTTTTTGACTAATTAGTTTTGTACCTATCTGTAATAAAGAACATTGAATTGTACTCTTGTTTCTTACGTGGGGGTGTGTGGAGTGGATGAAGGATGGCTAAGTTACCTGCAGGTACCAAAACTGCTGTCGTCACATGTTCATCTAGGGTTTTACAGCTCTCCTTGGGGGTTCATGCTTGATATAGGCATAGCACAGTGACAGGTAAGGCTCCTAATTGTGTTCCATGGCATATGGACAAAGGTGGAAATGTAATTGCGGTGAGCATGGGATGCGGCAAGAGCTTGGCAGGTACAGGATGTGGTCACGTTCAGCAGAAGGTTGGTGCTGCAGCCTCAACACGACTACTTAATGCTTTAGCAACAGTGCAGCTTCCACGGAGAGAGTGCAGTTTCTAGTACCAGGTGATTTAACCTGTTCAGTGGCAGCCAAGGGCTGTGGCGCAGCAGGGATTGTGAGCATTTTGTAGTGGAGGACGGTTGATGAGCTGAAGGGTGGGGAAAATGCTGCAGTTCTTGGTTGAAGGCTAAAGCTAGGATACTATTTATTCATGAGTAGGTATAACTTAAAAGCAGACTGAGTCTTGAAGTGCTAGGCACCAAGCCTAGGTTGTGTGTGTAATTTTTTTGCATCTCCAGGAAAAAGTTGAAGGAGCATCTCAAACTGCTTTGAAGGGTGGGTGTGGAAGATTGTGTAACTTTGCATATGAAAGGAGTAACTTTGTATTTCTAAAAACTTTTGAGCAGGACTTCCAGAGCAACTGAACAAGGTAAGGGCTGCAAAACATGTATTCCAAAGTACTAAATGAAAATTAATGTGTCAATGACAGTGCACCCTCAGCAAGTTTGCAGATGACACCAAGCTGAGTGGTGCAGCTGACACGCCTGAGGGACGGGATGCCATCCAGAGGGACCTGGACAAGCTCAAGGAGTGGGTCCGTGTGAACCTCATGAGGTTCAACAAGGCCAAGGGCAGAGTCCTGTTCCTGGGTCAGGGCAACCCTGAGTATCAGTACAGGCTGGGGGATGAAGGCATGGAGAGCAGCCCTGCTGAGGAGGACTTGGGGGTACTGGGGGATGAAAAGCTGGACATGACCCAGGCAATGTGCGCTCACAGCCCAGAAGGCCAACCGTGTCCTGGGCTGCACCCAAAGCCGTGTGGCCAGCAGGGTGAGGGAGGGGATTCTGCCCCTCTCTGGGGAGACCCCCCTGCAGTGCTGCGTCCAGCTCTGGAGCCCTCAGCACAGGACAGACATGGACCTGTTGGAATGGAGCCAGAGGAGGGTCATAGAAATACTCAGAGGGCTGGAACAGCTCTGCTGTGAGGACAGGCTGAGAGAGTTGGGGTTGTTCAGCCTGGAGAAGAGAAGGCTCTGGGGAGACCTTATTGCCGCCTGCCAGTACTTAAAGGAGGTTTATGTGAAAGGTAGGGACAGACTTTTTAGCAGGGCCTGTTGCGAAAGGACAAGGGGTAATGGTTTTAAATTAAAGGAGGGCAGATTTTGACTAGATCGAAGGAAGAAATCTTTCACAATAAGGGTGGTGAAACCCTGGCCTAGGTTACCCAGAGAGGTGGTGGATCCCTCATCCCTCCTGGCAACATTGCAGGTCAGGTTGGATGGGGCTCTGAGCAACCTGATCTGGTTGAAGATGTCCCTGCTCACTGCAGGGGGGTTGCACTAGATGCCCTTTGAAGGTCCCTTCCAACCCAAACTACTCTATGATTAGCAGAATGTGCCTAGTGTGTACGAAGGACTCCAAAGCTGTGTGGAAGGGTTGTTCCACATCTAGACCAAAGGGATGCATTCTGCATGGTCCCATCTTCCCACAGAACTGGAGCTCATGTGTTTTCAGAATGTAATCTGTGTAACCTCCTGCCGCTGCTGGGAACTCTGGGCTTCCAACACAGCTCCTGCAAACCACTCAACTGCCACCTTCCCCTACTTCCTTTTAAAGTAACCCTCCCCCAGGAAAATGCATGTGAAAAGTCTAAGGGCATGAGAGCAAGTAATTCCAAGTCAGTTACACAGCTGGTAACACTGAGTTGTTCCCTGTGCCCCACAGTTGAAGGAAAAACTGCTTTCTGGAGGACTACTGAGATCTTGGATTTCCTCCTCTGCTGTTTACTGTTGCTCCTTAAGTCCCTGCATAAGTAAATTCTTAAAAGCTTGTGGATTAGTATGGAGGCAAAATTCCAAGCAGAGAAAACTCACGGTGGTTTCTTCCGCAGTGCACGCACACACAAAGTAATTAGCCAGAATTTCACTGGTAACACCTTTTTAATAGGTCAAAGTAACTGTACAGTTCATTATATTCTTCCTGAGAATAATTTATATCCCTCAACAGCAAAAAGGGAGTGTGGTTTTTATTTTAACAGAACAGATGGCATAACTGGAAAACCAAGGAAAATCTAATTACACTGCTCTACTGTAACTCCTCCCAGGCAAGATAGACAAAAGGATGGGTTAGTTAACTACAGTGGGTTTAAAATATTCAACATGGCTTTAATCTGTCTTTATAAATTATATAAAAATGGGGGACATGAATGGTTACAGAACTCCTCTAAATGCAGCTCTGAATTGCTCTGGTACAAAGCAGCATTTTTGCTTCCAAGGAAAACAACATTGCTACAAAAGAACTGGCACGTTATTCTGGTGAAAAAGACAAGTTTTCAGTTGTGTTCTACAGCTAGTTCCAAACAAATGCTTCACACATTCACATAAAAGTAAAAGGCAGGAAGATGAAGAGGGCTTTAGTTTGTCTTGAAATGACTGAAGTCTTGAAAATATAGCTTTTTATTCTTTCTCTGTAAATTGTGATTAGCATATTGCGACGTTAAGTGTTCTAATAAAAAAATTCCAGTCTGGATAGTTCATATACTGTGGGCAAGAATTCTCAGCCCTGAGGTTTCCCCGAATTCTTCACTTCACAATATCTTTCTCCAATCTGCTGCTCAGACAACGTCGGCTCCAAGACCGTAACCCTGTGGCAGCTCTAGGCTAAGCGTGTCCCATGCGATGGTGTAAAACTGAAGTGCGCTCTGTAGCCGTGAGTTCCCGAGGACTTCTGTACAAACTTCATCTTGTGATAATGCCACTTTTAGAATCCCAGACCAGCTTGGCTTTATGATAAAAACTTGGTTAAACTTTTGCAATGAGAGAGAACCAACAGCTGTCAGTCAGGTCTGCTGAAGCAAGAGGCGCTGGAAAGCCGGGACTACACTGGGTTAATCCTCACTGCTGGTGGAAGGTGAAGTAACATCCTTTCGCAAGCAGAATTCTTGGACTGATGAAACTCTTCCCTCAGTACTTAGTGCGGTCTGGACTGACTGATCATTTTCAGTCTGGCTTGATCAATAACATCCAGCAAATTTTTGGCATCCACAGCGAGAGCGTGAGCAGCCGTCAGCATTTGCTTTTTGTACTCCTGCTGCAGGCTGGTCATGACATACTGCTGTGCCAGTTTCATCTTGTTAATGAGCTCGGCCAAGTCAGAGTTCAGCAGCTTTTGTGCCATCTCAATCTGGAACAAGAAGATTCAGTCAACTGTGCAATTCGTTAGAAGCACTTCACTCGCTGCAGCGATGCTGCAGAGCAACGGCACGATCTACCCTCCCTCAACAGCCCCTGCTTGAGATTTCCGATGGAAGCTGGGGCCGTTCCTGTGGGCACCACATGGAGCAGACAGAATTTCGGCACCAGCTGCTCTACGCTGTGTGGAGATCGAAAGCAGCCTTGGCAGCTGCTGAGCCGACTGCTGTTTAACATCTCCAAGACCACAAAAAAACCCTGGATTTTAATTCATGTCTTAGAGTTAACACCTTGTTACAGGTTTCAAGGTCCCTAATTACCATCACCCTTTTTAATACTATTATTAAAGGAGCCCTAAAAAATAAAACAGGTCAAGAAGCCAGATGCAGGTTACTTAACAGAGAATCATCTTGACTCAGCTATGTCGTTCTAAGATGGCACTTAAAGAACCATTCTCTGGCTTTTTCCTTATCGCACTCTTTCAAGGTTTTGGAGGAAAATGGTTTTACTCCTGACTCATTAACTTCACTGACGGATCTCAGTCGCTTCTCATCCAGAACTAGGTACTACAGGATACTTTCTCATCACAACCTTCCGTCTGCAGCAAGCTACGCTCTGTTACCTGTTTAATAACTTTGTGTGCAATCTGTAGTTTAAGGGAAGATTACACTTGCACTAGGAATTAAATCCCAGATGGCCTCCCTGCATTAGAATACTGGTTTCGTGTACACACTGCTAACGGTTTTTATGTCATCTTCCGATGGGTGCGTGTTTTGTGCTCTTCAATTACATCCACTTTAAGCAGCTTCACTTAAGTCAATACAAACAAGCCTATGTCCATGCAGCAATTCTAATGTTTGTTTCATGTGGAATTATAACCCAAGAGTTCAGACTGCTTAGTGAACCAAAATGTATGCATATGCAAAGGAGGGAGCGCCAAAATATGTCCAGATCACTCTCCTGGCTCAGGCTAACTTGAAACGTAATGACTGAGTGTCAGGTGAGCGGAGCTCTACGTACCTCTCTGTGGGTGCTTGCAGGAAGCACTGGGAGGGTCTCATCTACTGTTGCCAGTAAGGTTCTTAGCGCCAGACCAACCTCCTGAGAAAAAAAATTTAAGGAAATAAACTTTAAAAACTTGGAATGAATGGATGAGAGAATTGTAGGAGTGCAGGAAGCAACAGATACACTTAATTCCTCATTTGGATAAGAAGGGAGTTAGAACACTGGCTGAGAGACTTTAAAATCCTACCTGCACTTCTGTGTTTCACCGTAAAAACAAGATGCCAAAGGCTTAATTTAAAAAAAAGTTTTTCTTAAAGAAGTGAAATCCAGAGAAGATGGGGCACAACTCACTGCCCCTGGATAAGCACAGGCAAGCTGGAGAATAAAACCACTGTTGCGCACAATACTGTTAACAGTATCCAAAGCTCCAGCCCTCTGACCACAAGTTACACAACCCACAAAACATAAAAGGTTTTTCTA